AAATTAAAACTGACAGAAAGGCAGTGTAAAAAGCCCAATATGAATTGGGGTTTATTTTCAAACCTTGACGTCTTGGAACAATCTTGGATACTTTATTTTTTATTTCTCAATCTTGTTGGTGGTATAATGTCAGTGGTATGTTTGAGTTTAAACGGGTTTCCTTGCAAAACTGACAGTGCTCCACACCCTTATTACGACAGTGGACCAAGACCAACAAGCATTCGAGTAATTAGGAGTTGCCTAACATTACTTTCAAATGCTCGCTTTTGCACACCAATCTAGTTGTCAAAGGATTTCAAACCACACTTGTGTACTTACGAACGAGATATATCCACAATATGTATTGATCATGTTGAAATCTAAATAGATAAAGGCTTTTAAAGGAAAAGCTTCCTAGTACTTCTGGAGATAATACTATCATTGTGCGAATAATTTCGGATTCGTTCGTGCAGCCAAAGACCAAGGACTTTAACCCTCTCAACATTAAAATGATTCAGAACTTGTAATATCAAGATGGGGTGCTTGGATACTCGGTACTAAAACATACCATAATTTCTTGGTTATTGTGTGACTCAAAGTACTAAGGCGTTTTCGGTATACCACTGATAGAAGCTACACACCATCGTTTTGGAGAGATCCAGGCATAAACAGGACGGTTCTCGCATAAAGTTAGATCATTAACATATTTAAAATACATATAGGCCTATAAATTTGTATCGGCATCATTAGGCCTAGTCATAATTTGGATACAGGTGCGACTCAATTCACACTCAGACAAACTTTATACCTAACAAACTTTTACCGAAAGTCAGAAATCCATTGATCCATGGAACGATTGATCAATTTTGACTCCAATGTTGAGTATCTTTCCAAATGAGTTAAATTGTGACTAGATAAACCTTTCATAATTCCAAACTGCCTGGAGTCAATCTTAAGACTACTTAGAGTGCATTAAGGCATCGTAGTTGGTTTGGTTAACTGGTTTCCTGTATAGTATAGGCCTATTCAATTTCCATCTAACAGATATACTACATTAGTTATCAATGTTACATAAGGGGGTTTATATAGTTCATTTTTATGTCTATTTGTCACGTACCACAGACACATCAACCATTTGAGACTGTCGTCTCTTTCCCTTTTTTGTCTGCGCGAATATCTCGCCGACTGAAAGTTCTTTATTTGCGCTCTGAGGGTCTTTCCATCGGAGGTAACGCGCCTTTTTAGCCTCATGGAACGTGTCGTCTGAATCAGGTAACAAGTGAATGGTTCTTAGACCGCCATCTGGCGCATATTTATGCTGATCAAACCACAATGTTGGATTGGCTATTATATCAGCTACCATTGCCTGGGTGTTCACGTTTGATTCTTGACCATTATGCAGAGAATTCCCTGTCAGTGCTGGTGTAGCATTGGCCAATATCGGTGCCTCAAGCCTTCGTGCAGTCTGTGGCGAATCTGACAGCGAGACCTTGTTAGGTATTGGAGAACTAAATATAGATGGAAGTGTCTTCAGATTGCTTGCAACTTTTTCTTGATGTGACATTTTTCGTTCCGATTGTTTTTTGTCATATTTTCCTCCTTTGGCAAAAGAAGCCGTCTCTTTACCAGAAGTCGTTGCGTGTTTTAGACCTTCGGCTAAATCTGCAACCCGCGCCACCAATTTCTCTTGTCTTCGTGACATTTCGTTTAACCTCCGTTGACTAATCGCCTGCTCCCGATTAGATTCTTTCTGAAGTAATTGCATCTTCTTGTCGTACTCCCTCTGTAGAGGTGTAGATTTCGCTGAAAGTTGTTTAGAGGTCACATTAATAGACGGGAACCCAGAGTCTGTATTATTGGCCTTGTCTGAGAGTTGCGCTCCAGCACCTTCAGTGGCCTTATTACGTCTTTCATGCCTATATCCAATGTGACGGAGTCGATTTGGTTGGCGAACAACTGGTCGATTGCCGTTAAGATATTGGCCTTTAGTTCGTACTTTCTGGAGCTCCTTTTGAAGCATCACTTGTTCCCTTCGAATGGTTTCCATGTGCATTTTTTCTATTCCACGTTCTCGTTCCAGGTTGCTTTGAAGACTTCGATTGGCGAACATATTCTTTGTTTTGGCCTTTTCTTCGTTTCTAAAAACGTTTGACGAGGACAGGTCAGCGTCTTTGTTGTATCGATGCATCCTCATATATGTAGTCGTCATATTTTATAAAATTAAGGACCGTCAACAGACCTGATGATTGTTGTTTTCGTTGTCTCCAAAATGCCTTATCTGTAATACAAAGAAAAAAAAACATCGGGTTTAGATCCGATCAAGTTGAAGTGGTAACCTATCGATATTGGAAACGATAGGGTATAGCTTTTTGGTATTTATCAAAACTAAATATTAAAGTACTTATAAGCCTTCAGCTCTTGTCGTAGCACCTGCAAAAACACCGGATGTGACATGGTCCCAGAGGGTGGGGTGCATTTTCTTAACAAACAAAATTAAGCTGCAAGAGTGCGTCTCAGCGAAACGTGGCAGGTGTCGCAAAAATAACATCGCGTAAATAACACTAACGGCATGCGTCAGACCAAAATAATCGTTATGTCGATTTCGCTTATACAAAAAAAATGTATATACAGTAATAGACCCAATTCCGTATTTAGAAAATTAAATTACAGATCTTTTAAACTGAATTTCGATCACTTTGGTCATATATAGTTCTTTTGAAGAGTTGACTGGCCAACTTACGTCTTTATCAATGTCAATACTGCTTTTAGACTACGATTTATAAAAAAAATGTACACCTGTGCCGTCAAAAAGGCCGATATTTTATCTTTAGGATAGGAGGCACACTATCATTACTATCGATATAATTCCGCAGCACTTTGGAGGCGCCTAGCAACCTACCCGCCAAAGCAATAATTTTACCATCAATAAAACGACAATCAAATGAACTTAGGCTCTACTGATAACCCTCACACACTGCGAATACTCAGACAAAACACAACCTTTAGAACACACACTTGTGATCTTATCTATATTTAATCTTATTTGATGTTATATTCACGATATTCATATTTCGAAATGACAGAAAGGGATTTCACCGTGGAGATTATAATATTTTAATAGGATATTTGAACAAGTCAGTAAGTTGGCAAACGAGATTACAGTGGTGATATTACCACTCGCGGATGTGTGAGCTGTACCAAAATCTGATGACGGACACCTCTCAATGCGATAGGGATATTGATGCACCATCCAAGAAGATATATATCCGGATAGTAATTTTAACTATGATGATAATGATGATGGTTAAATGATAATAATAGTTCAAAAACACCATAAATGTCTATAAGCACCTCTCTGGAAAGAGATGTCTCGACTAAGAGCCGCATTACAAGTTTGATAAGTTCTTAAAAGTTTTTTAATAGATTGTTATTTTTGGGTAATCGCAGAGAGAATCTTTCACGTTCCTCAACTTTATGATGAGTTCTGTGATCTCCTAGCCCCCATTAATGATCTTACATCTATCGAAAGAGATGCCTTCGACTAAAGTCGCACTAAAATGATAATAACAACTTTCTTAAAAGTTCCTTAGGCCTAATATATTGTTATTGTTGGGCATTGGGAAAAAGAGAGAATCTTCCACTAGGTTCCCCAACTTTATAATGAGTTCTGTGGTCTCCAGCCCTCCGGAAGGACAGCACCTTATTACTATTAGTCTTTTGCAAGATGTAACCACGTAAACGTAAACTGTTAAAGGTACCAAGTTTCTACGGGTCGGTGTGTCAGTGACGGCCAAGTGTCAACATGAAAAGGGTTATACAAGTAGACCTAAGTATAGGTAAGCGTAAATTTTCGCTAAAACGCTGTTCTCAAATAAGTGTACAAAGATTTGTCGTAGACCATTCTGAAGAATACAAATACAAATACAAAAATATTTATTCATCATTTTCAAATATTAGTACATTTTGCAAAAAAAGAGTGATAATTATTGGAATGTTAAAATGATAGAAAGGAGTATCGAGAAGCCCGGGCTTGTACAGGCAAGACCCCTCACCAAACTAAACTTAACTACTAATAACTGTAATATATTAGATATAAAAAAAATACCAACAAATGGTAAAGTATCAAATGTCATTTATCAATATATAATTATGTACATACGCATACGGTACGTTTCTCACATCAGGTATAAGTTATTATATACATCGAACGACTAGTAATTATTGAATAGAATGAAAAAAGAAGATGACTTAGAGGAGAATATCGATCACAAAATCGTTTTGCGAAGATTATATAAAGTTTTGGAGCTTTCTGTCGGTAGGAGAGGCACGCTAAACAAGTTTTGTTTAGGCATTAGTTTTTAATTGACTAAATGATACAGGTGACGTTCATATTCACGTGATGCCATGCGAGTTAAACGGTTCGGCTATTCAACAAAGTTATAGGTTTATAGAATGATTGAACAACTATCTCGGCTGACACGACGTTTATAATAATAATAATAATAATAATAGTAATAGTAATAGTAATAATAATAATAATAATAATAATGATAATGATAATGATAATAATAATAATAATAATAATATCTCGAATTTATATGGCGCCAATTCCAAACAAGATCAAAGGCGCAACGCATGTGAAAAGCCGCCGGAAAACAAATAGGTCTTAAGCTGTGACTTAAAGTTGCAAATAGAGTTGGAAGAAGTGGTTCCAGAAATATGCAGAAGCAAAAGTAAAAGAACATTGACCGTAGGTTTTGGTACGGCATTTGGAAACAGAAAGAAGGATTTGAGAGGATGATCGGAGACGGTGAGATGGAGTATATCGGAAAATCATTGAACGTAAATATAAAGGCCTAATGCTGCAAGTTTAATCCAATCATATTAAATCAGTACTACATACATAGGCCTACCTGAAACGTCAATCTTTATAATGTATAATCCCTCGCAGTGAGCTATATCGTCGCACTGTTCTGTATGAACTACCTATAATTCCGATTAACACCACAGCACTCTATGCCTACGTATGTCAATATGACGTAATGTGCTATCCTTAGCCTATCTTTACGTGATAGATGTACTATCAATACAACTTTAGGGTTATGTAGTCTCCACAGGTATCAAAAGAATATTAACCTCAGGCCTATGTCCGTTTTTGCGATCACAAAAAATACAAATGAATAATAAGCCTTCATTATCAATTATTGCGATTCAATAATAAAAAGTAAGATAGATTTGATTTTCTAATAGCATTTGTGATTACAATACCATATAGTGTGTGTCCTGTTAAACAACAGATATGTCTATTTAGTTACAGGATTACTTGTGTATTGTGTATTACCGTAATTTTTCATTTTTGTTTCTGTAGAAAATCATCATCATCATCGTCTTCATCATCGTATTCATATTATCGTCATCATTGTCTTTATCATCACCGTTTATATCATCATCATACTTCTTTTATCAACATCATTAGCAGCAGTAAATATATAGATATATTATATTATATTATATTATATATATACTGTCTCTTATACACATCTAGATGTGTATAAGATGATAAGTGAATATGAAGGTTTTGTAGTGAATCCAAGTGCCAGGAGTACAATGAAAGCTTTTCTTCAGTTGAATGAACCTATAGTCGGAAGCCGGCATGAGCCATGGATTAGATCCTGAATATATATTTTACAAGTAAATTGTTATTCATCTTGTGAGCTAAGCCAGCTAAATGGGATTTTTATATCTAAATTTAAAAAGAAAATAATGCACAAGTACAAAATCGTTGAAGTAGCTCCCTATGAATGCATACGATAACTTGAGTAGGCTATATAGTTTATAATGTTATTTGTTTATGATACGTGATGGTGAATGATAATACATGGTAGGTTCTTCGAAAACAAAGATTTTTGTTATTATCATCGTCATCGAAATCATCACAATAACCATCATTATTATTACTACTACTATTATTACTACTAGGCCTATTATTATTATTATTATTATTATTATTATTATTAAATTATAATTATCATCGTCGTCATCGTCATCCACATTATTGTTATTTAACGTTTATATATCATTATTATTATTAATAAAATATAATTCACAACATCCTAATAAGTACAATAATTTAGTATAATGTGTTATTTGGTTTTTAAGAACTTATCACATTTATCTTGCATAGTTTACAGTGCATATAAGTGCTTTCTAAGCATACAATACCAAGACCATTGCCGTGAGAATACAGCATGATTGGACTACTTCGTTACTCAGTTGTCTTCGTTATTTCATTGTTCTCAATTACGGCCCCCCTCCACAGGTTAGAGTATATTGCTCTGTGGTGATAATATGAAATACCCACAGGCAGTGACAGGGCCTCACTCAAATAAACACGTGTACTCCATTCAGGGTAAGGTGTCCGTGTGTATTATCACATCCTCTTTTCATACACAGGTTGCTATGGTAGCATTGACGCGTCCATAGAATCAGCGCTTTTGTTGGAGTTTATAATACAAGGGATTTATTTATAGTGTGGATGGCATTGCATTCCTATCAATATAAACAAAATAGGCAGCAAAAGCTTTACATTAGACGTCAAAGTTCAGCCAAATTATTCAGTGGCGTGGCCAAATGGCCCTACCCCCGTGTTTGCCATTCCTCACCACTGTTGGCCTCTGAGTTAGCAATGTTCACATATAATTAATTATCACAGAAAGAATACATAGGAATAAAAACAATTATTAACATCTTATATGCGTATATTCATTAGTAAGTCGTGCTTTCGCCAGTGTGGTGCGACAAGGGCTTAAGTTCTCTCCACATCTCCCCAACCTCACTCCCCCCCCCCCCCCCCCCAAAAAAAACCCCGGACATCATTACTTAGGATTATTGTTTTTCATCATCACTGAAAGTTAACCAATCAGTGAACCACAAATACGTCACTGTATGAAATCGTTATGGTAACATAAATAACACAATAATTAACAAAAATAGCAGTACAGTGGTATATGCCAACTCCCTGAGTTGGCATTAGGCATAATATACCTAGACTAGAAGGCCTACGTTTCCGTTCACGTTAAGTTGTTTACTTGTTTATAAGATTCTTTGAATACGAAACCAATATTTATATTTCTCAAATTACAAAGCACAAAGTTGGATCTTATCGTAATTAGTATGGTGTAGGTTCTAATTTATTTATTTAAAAACATCTTTATACATGATAACATATTCAGTGATTATTTTACACAGTTGTCCTATTTTACAGATTAAAATCACAATAGAAAGACAAGATTAAAAAATTTAAACAACAGTAAAGATAAAAAGGCAAAATAAAAAAAAAACCATAAAGCTATATTTAAAAAAAAAACAACGATTAGAAGTACAATAAAATAAAATAAAATGATTATTGTTAGTACTAAACACATATTCAGCGTTAAAATTCAAAGTGGGTACTTAGTTGATTTCATACCAGATTGGGAAGTAATATTGAAAGAACGCCTAGTATCATCATTATTTAAGTAGCTATGCAACAGGTCTCACTCTGATTAAAGACCCCTCTGAAAAAAGCCCCTTCAATCAAAACAACTATACTACAGTCTCAGATTAATTCCCTTTATAATTTAAAAAGGAGAAACTTATAACCGAAAACTTGAAATTGTGCCCATATTAGGGGTTTTTTCGCTCGTAGTAATTGATGTCATAGATTTATTACCTTACAAATATGTTCATCATAATAGTAACAATGATGATTATGACGATCACGAGTACTACGATTGATAGGGAACAGTTAAATTATTGATGATGATCCTCCACCACATCCTTATATATTGACGGCAAGCGTAAATTCCTACGTGTACAAGAGACAAACGTGCTGTTTAATTCGTGAGCTAACGGAATCGTGTGCATTGATTCATACATTATGTGTTACATTATATTACAAGTAATTACTGGAAGTAGAACACATCATTAATGAATAATCACCTTTCTTTCGCTGACACAATAGACGAAAAGCAAAAACAGAAGGACTCCTTGAGTGCTCAATATGCACTCGCCTGTTAGTTAAAAGCATTTTCAATTCAGAACAACACTTGAACAGCAAGTGCGTACTTATTAAAAATTTACTTTGTCATCGAGGAACAGAAAGGTTTTTGTAGAATTCTCTTACAGCCCGGTGTCATGGACAGGGGACACGATCAGTAGTGGACAATGGAGGTCGTAACATAAGCCGGGGGTGGGGATTGGGAAGCACGTCCGAATGAGTATTTGATGAAAAACCAGGGAACGATTTAAAAGACACAGATTATTGATAATTTAAAACTGGGGAAAAGGGGGTGTACAGTGAACATCCTTCGCCCAGTTTAAAAAAATTAGGGGCCTATTATAATCTGCACCGTTCCCAAATTTGTTTTTGTCAAGTATGTACCCCTCCAGTTCCTCATGCAATTAATTTGTACAACATTTTTCACTCCGATCCTGACTTTAATTTTAGAAAAATGACATGACATTAAATTTTAAAGTCAATTTTCGGCTTATTTGCGCACAGAAATATGCGTGAATTACATATACATTGTATGTAAATGTTGTCTTGCTCGTGTACGCCAAATAAATGTTGTTATGCGATTAAACGTAGTAGGCCTACTACATATATAGGGCCCACACTTGTGCCACGCAAAAAGTACAATCGTGTCATAAATATATTTGCCACTAATATATACAAAGTATATAGGTCTACCTTAACTTAATACGTCAGTGCACCTATCCTAATACACATTTTATAATATGACTGAACAGTTTAGTAAAACATGAATAGCCTTACCGCTCTGCTTAAAATTCATGACAAAGCACGCAATGATTTTGAAATATATGTCGTGTTGAACATGAGATTAGCAATCAGAATATTAATAGTAGTAGGCCTATATATACAGTAGAACAACAAAACACTTAGGGCTAAAGGAGAAAAAGGTGCAATGTTAAAAAAAGGCTTACCATTGGCCCCAAAGGTCCACGGATATCATTGTCGATGTTCATTAATCGATTGCTATCAATAAACAGTACGAAACTTTCTTGAGCGTTCTTCCAACGCTGAGTGTAAACGACACCCAGGCCCATATAGTTTGGTTTCACACTATGCAACTTTCAGCGGAAATATTATTGTGTTGAGCGTTAATAGAGCGAAATCGCCGGGCTTGAGATTTTCAGCTTGGTGAACACAGTGAAAACAGCGAGAACGCTTCCCTTGGATATTATACCGATCGAGGCGGTTGCTAAAGTAAGTGTCAAAGTGGGAATAATGGAGCTAGTCAGGTTTAACAATAGAGTCCCAATCAACTGGTTCAACCTCATTACGATAAGCGCCATCTACGATGTAAACATCAAACGAATTTGTGCAGCTACCAAATATGATTGTCGCCTACTGAACTATATCGTCATACAACTATTAATAATTTTAAATTCGATGTTGTAATCAGCATCATCATTTCGCTACTAGAAGCACATTCACATGTTATATACTACAAGATCATTCAGAGTTTATCACTTTACCAATAATAATAATAATAATATAAATTATAAAAACAATATTTACTTATATAGCGCTTTTTCATTTAAAAACTGCTCAAGAAATTAAAATACACATCTTACAAATAATTATATAAAAGCTTTAGGTACAATTTTGCCCAGCCTGACGTGAAAAATTAATGTACTGAATACTCAGTCTGATTTGAAACACTTCCGAAAGAAATCGCAAGTTATTCTCGGGTGTGACTCGAACCAACGATTCCCAGATCACTAACGTGGCATCATAACTTTAAACCACCCAGCTTGCGCCTAATGGCCAAGATTGAATTCGAGCCCAAATAAGCAGCGGGTACTGAAATGTAAATGGTAATTATATGAAATGGTAATATAAAAAAGCTGTCAATTACAATCTGCCTTTGAGATAAATCCAAGTAGGCCTAATCTAAAATCATAGACTGCAGCCTTTT